CAACTGGTGTCCAAGGAAGGTAGGAAACGCAGAAAGTGGCTGCTTCTCAGTCTTTGGAGAGTAGTCTGAATGCAACCAATGTTTAATGCGTTGGAAGAATGTTGAGACCTACATTAAATTAAAATAGGAAAATTTGTTAAAATCAGCACAGCTGTTTTTTCAGCCTTCCATTCATCAGGGACAGCAAAATGTGATTTCTCACCATCTCCCAGGCTCCCAGTCCTCAGGAGTTGGGAGTAGGGAGAGGAGAAAAGAAGGAGGTGGAGGAGGAGCATAGAAAATATTTAGAACTATTGGAGCCTTGAAGTGGAGACAGCTCTGGAAATGCTTACAAGCTTTTTGCACGCTGGACCCAAACCTCTTTACTACTTTCATGCCTCGGAGTCCTCTTAATTATTGAAGAGAGCTGTTTGTGTGTGACTTACCATAGGCTTTCCTGAAGAACTGATGCTTTCTTCAGAATTTTTAACCTACTTCCTCCCTCTCTCCTTTGTTAATTCTTCACTGTCTCTACCATGGACAACAATTCAGTTTACCTTATTCTCTCATGATGAACATTTGTGAATTTCCAGTTGCTATATTGTTTCTGCTAAGCACATTTATTTGTTCATTTGTTGTCAACATTTTGTGTTGTTTTGTTTTAGCTTCTTCTGCTTGTCCAGATGTTACAGGCTCTGGGTGTTATGTGGAAAACCGGGCTGTTAAGATCCTCGCCCTCTTGGAGCTGCTGGCATTCTAGTGGGCATTCCAGATACAACGCATGCTATCAAGAAAATCATTCGGGTGAAAATGGGACAAAGATGGCTGGGAGTGAGGCTACGGTATAGGGTGGGTGGGGGAATTCTCTCGGGTGGATGGATAACATCTGAATTAAGATTGGCATGCTGAGAAGGAGCTATATAAGGTCTGAGAAGGCATCCCAGGCAGAAAGAGGAGAGAGTGGTGTCAGAGGAGAAGGATGCCCGCGTGGCTGGAACACTCAAGCACAATGTGAGGGGAGGGAAGGGATCAGGGCCAAAGGAGTGCCTAGCTGGCCGTGGTAAAAATCAAGAGTTTTATTCGATGTGTATCAGGAAGTCATTAAGCATTTTAAAGTAGAGATATTGTAAGTTTTCAAAAGAATCTTCTAATGCCTGAAGTAAGACTGTGGGGAAGGGGGAAGTGCAGAAGTAGAAATAAGGGTACTGCTTAAGTCCATGCAGGAAATAAGGGAGTTAGAAATAGGGTTGGGGCCATGTGGGCACCATGATCTACATTTTGGAGGTATCTAGGTTTTAGTGAACAACTAAAAGGAAAGGAGAAAGTTGGAGATAATAATTATTATTATTAACACTTCTATTGCACTTAGGTGTTTCACACCTTAATTACTTTAATCTTCATAATAATAGTACCCACAGATATTATTTTCATCACTGCTGTATAGGTGAGACAAAAGGGGCACAAAGAGGTTGAGGGACTGGCCAAAGGTTTCTCATGTAATAATAGCACAGTGAGGACTTCAGTTCCTGGGTGCTCTTCATCTAGTGTGCTAGGATCCAATACCAACATGTAAATACAGTGGAGGGATACAGATATAGAGGAACTTGATGGGTCAATTAACAGGATTTTTTAAACTTTGCAACAGTGAGCAGAGGTTACAGAGTTAAAAAAAGAAAGTTAAAAGATCAGTGTCTGCCTTTAAAGATACAACTCCCTTTTTTGTATGTTTTACATACGTTTGTCTCAGGGAACAAAAATGGGTCCATCTTGCATGGCAAAATAAATATAATAAATGTTCATCATTTCATCCGTGTCTACACAGATTTTTTTGTGAAATCAGGAAAAGACGGAGTTTTGTTTTGCTGACACCCAAACCACAGTATTTACTTCTCAGGCCATGGCCAGACATCCAGAGGATTACATTTGTTGCCCTGGATTTGAGTCCTGGAAAGCTTGCTACTTAGGCGCTTCCCTTGGACGGCGGAGTTGAGGGGGGCGGGGTCAGTCAGCCCTCTCCGGGTCTGTTTTCCAAGCACTGTGGTTGTCATGCAGCAGGGGGCGCTGCAGTAGTGTTCATCTTGGTCCACGGGAGCCCATCGCCCAGCCAGAGAGGGTCCAAGCCAGGAGGAGGTGTGGCAGGCAGCCCACCGTCCTCTTTGGTCTTGCAACTTTAGTACCCAGAGCTCGTCTACACAGGCCATTCTTCTACACCATAATTTATCAGGTTGGACGCCTTCCATCCAGTCCTGCATCCAGGCGGAAAGGAAAGGGCATTAGCTTCCCGCCTTCCTAGGTTTTGAGGATAGCGGTGTACCGGGTTGCAGAGGCGTCTCTTCTCTGTATTTCCAGAGTCAGCCTGAAAGTCCCCCCTGAAACCACGAAAGGCCCCCGCAGCTGCGGTGTGTGCGTATGTGTTTCTTTCCTCTCCGGGGGTCCTTTCTTTTTAACCTGACTGCGGGAACATTCTCCTTCCCATGCGTCTTTCTACTGACATTCGGGACGACGGTAGGCTCGGAGCTGATATCTCTCCCTCCTAAGATGCCCCCCAAGCTCTCCAACACCCCCTCCCATTTCGACTCACTCGCTGTGAGCGTGTATGAGAGGTCGCGTGAATGTTTGTGGCCACCGAGCTGCAGCCCTCGCCAAACCTGTTCTTCCTCTCTCGGTCCCCAGAAGTCCCTCCAGCTGACCGGACTTACGCCTGGCAGCGCTTGGCACAGTCAGCGCTGGGGCTGAGATCCAGTCGGTGCCAGGCACTGCCAGGCAGCAGCGGCGCGAGCGACCGGGTCCTCCTCGGTGTCGATTCTCTAACAGCTCCTACTCCCAGGGCGCACTCCAGCTATCCCTCTGGGCTGTCTTCCAGCAGTCGCCCTTGGGTCCCGGGGGCTTTCCGGAGTGAAATCGAAGGTGAAGGAAACAAGAGGAGGGCGGGAGGTGGGTGGGAGGAGCCCCGGGCCGTGGGGAGGTGGGAGGAGCCTCCAGCCAGGGGGTGGTGTGGGAGGAGCCTTAGGGGAGGATCTGGGTGGAGAAAGGGGCCGGGCAAAGCCGGGATGGAGGGTTGGCCACGCAGGCGCGGGGGGCCGCGCCGAGAACCCCACGCGGGAGCTCCTGGAGTCTCCAGCCACCGCTCCTCACTTCACCGGAGAAGGGGCTGAGGCTGGGAGGGAGCTAATAAAGAGTGAATGAGCGGCAGCCGCTGTGGCAGCCGGAGTCAGCCGGAGCAGCACCGGAGCCGTGCGCCCGGGAGGCGGCGAGGGGAGGCGGTTCGCCTCGTCCCTCCCACCCGCCCCTCTTTCTCTCTCTTCCTCCAGCTGGTCTCAGAGTCCGGCTGGGTCCGGTCCCTCTGTCCCCATCCCGCATTCTTCCACCTCCTCCGAGTCCCACTCCTCACCTAGGGCGCCCCGAACTGCCATGGGTTAGGGTGGGGGCCGCGAGCCGTGCGAAGGACCAGCCCTGTACATCCGCCGGGGGGCGCGGAACCCGAAAGCCGCCAGCCGCTCGCGGGCGCCGGGCATGGGGAGCGTGGTGTGAGCCCGCACCCGAAGAGGACGCAGGGGCTGCGGAGACGGGCGCGAGGAGGAGGAGGAGGAAGAGAAGGAGGAGGAGAGCGGCGGATTGCAAGGACCCGAGGGAGGAAGGGAGGGACAGGAGGGTGGGGAGCTAGGAAAAAGTGAAGCTGGGAGGAGAAGGCGGCGGAAGGTGGGGATTGATGCTTCTGTTTTTTGTTGCCGCTGCTGCCCTCGCGCTGGGAGCCGAGCCGGAGGGAAGGCGGTGGAGAGATGATTGCAGAGTTGGTGAGCAGCGCTCTGGGGCTCGCCTTGTATCTCAACACCTTGAGTGCGGATTTCTGCTATGATGACAGGTAAGGGGTCGACGGGTTCCGTGGGGACTCCGCGGTGGCTCAGAAGCTTCCCGCACTTTAAGGCTTGAAGCGCGTCTTACAGGAACTGGTCCAGCACCTGAAGGTTTAGGAGAAGCGTAAACAACACCCAGAGCAAACACCGGGACGCGAGCGCGCTGGGCGGGCTGAAGGAGTTTGGGTTCCTAGTTTGCGGCAGGTTCTTTCTCTTGGTTCTTGGCTGTTGGCGAACGCTTAAGTATCCTAGCGGAAATCACAGCAATTTGGGAAACTGTTTAATCAAGGTATTAAATGAAAAAAAAAAAAAGTCTTAGGTATTTCTTGGTGCACATTGAGCGATTTTAGGTCTGGGCTGGAAGGAAACCGCTCCCCTCCTCTGAATAGGTCTTCCCTGTGACGTTTCCTTTTATTGATGGGACACTTTTATTTCCCGAGGAAAAAAAAAAACACACCTTTGGCAGTTACCAAAATAGTGGAAGGAGAGAATCGTCCTCTGCTCCAACTTTCCCATTTGACGTGTACGGTACTTTACTTTGAGCCAAGATAATGCTGCTGATGGACACTCCGACTCCCCCCTCCTCCCTCACCAATCGATGGAGTAGCACTTTTATAAAAGCCTGCGCTTTCATTTCTGTTTGGGAGTTTTACATTAGACGTTAGCGATTCTTTTGTGCTAATTGAGGAAGAAGACGCCCCTAGAGACTGAAGTTGTCTTCTGCATTTGGGCTAGTTTGGGTGGCTAATGAGACCTGAACTGTGTTGTCAAAGAAACTGCATCGATTTCTGGAAAATGTCACAGTTGTGCTGGTGTCTCTACCTATTTTTTAAACGTTGTTAGTGTTTAGAAACTGGTGAAAAGCTCCGATAGCCATTAGGGAAAATTCCAATTTGTGCCTTTCCGGTGACTTAATCTGATTACAATTAAAACAGATGCATAATTAAAATATATTAGGGAGAACAGCACGCCTGGCTAAACTTATTAACCGTCCTGGGGTGTTTCATGCTCCATTGAAATTAAACCATCCAAAAAGTGAGCACAGATTTACTTTGACAGCTTTTCAGCAGCCTCTCTGGGCTATGGAAAGTGAATGGATCCCCAGGGTCAGGGCAAGGCAGAGAGTGAAGTTAGAGTGGCTGATCGTGAAGGCAGAATCTTTTCTGGGTGGTAATTAGCCATCTCTGGTGTGCCCACTCTACGGGGAAAAGCATGTTCATGGATGTATGCTTGAAATCTGTGAATCTTGATTTACAGCCACATGTCTGCTACGAAATCAAGCAAACTCTTCTTAATGCATTTTATGTAGTTTCTATCAGAGACTGGTTGATAAGGAAGCCACTGTTAGACTTAAACTTTTCCTCAACTTTTAAGCAATGTATATGTTTTAGCAATTATGCTACATGCTCTGAGAAATAAATATTCTTTGTGTAAGACTGGGGTGAGCTGCTTCTGTTCCTTCCAGTTTTTTGTTACCGTGCACCTGCTATTTCTAGGGTATTGGAAGAAAAAACTTTTGCTTCCAAAGATGGGTGACTTTTCACTAAAATGAGCTCAGGGATGAATCTGAGCAGTTCCTGTTTCTGTTGGGGACAGTTTGAAAAGTAATCACTTAAGCCAAGAATAAAGAGCTTGGAAAAAAAGCAACTTAACTGTAATATGCTAAGTATTGTAGAACGCTGTGATAAATCAAGCATTCTCAGTGTATGCTGTCCTTTATTCCTGTCCAGTTCTGTAAAAAATACATGTCAGAAGAACGTATCCTGTAAAGATGAAGGCTTGAACTAAACTAAACTTGCACATACATTTTTCTATAGATTTAATGCTTATTTTGTGTTCCTTAATCATCGGTCGGGAGCATTAGGACTTCGTAACTTGGGGAGAATAGTGTGAAGGAGATGATAAATTAGTTGTGCTTTGATGGTGGGCAATCGTCGTAAGTTCTTTACATACTGTAGGTTGGGTGCAATGTCAAAATTCCTGACTTAGCTACGTAGATGAACATAATGTGATGAGTTGTCCATATCATCTAATTGATAGCTTGCTCAATATATGATACATAGATAGACATTATATACTGATATGATGTTGAGAGCCTGTAAATATAAATTATACTTTGCTATGATTTGGAAGTGTATTTTTAGTCCAGTTTTCTTAGTAGCAGAACTGCATATACAGTTGTATGCTCTTAAAAGAGCATGAAGTCTCAACAGAATCAAACTTGGTTTTCATGTATCCTAGAAATTCTGATACACTTGTTAATAGGAGTGTGGAACTTACTGGATGTCTGCATGGCATGTGCAGGTGATTCAGTGCCAGAGTGCTCTGTAAATTGTGGCTTTTTGGATATAATTTGTATCTACCTTCTCTAACTCACAGCTCCATGTGGAACTGGGGGAGAGCTAAGGAGTCAAGTGGAAACTGTAGGATGATGATAATGTGTTTACTTCTAGTACTGCGTTTCAGACTACAGAGACTCAAGTTTAAAAAAATTGTGTAAACTGCATGTGTGCATTCCACTACCCCCCAGGAACTTTGTGAAATACAGTTCTGGAAGGAGAGGCCAGTGCTGGGAGCTTGCGAGAAGGGAGATGGCTCTTACGCTTGACTTGCTTAACTAAATCAAGACTCTGCATTTTAGCTGAAGAATCTGGCATTTGCTAGAGGAGGGCTTTATATTGCTTCAGCTTAAACATTATTGCTGTGGTACTTCTCAAAGTTATCATTTCCTTTAAATATGGTGATCAAGTTTACTTTGTAAACTATATATGTAATTACTTTCACTGTTTGATGTAACTTGGTTGAGATTAAGTGGTAATCTGAAACTTTTTCATAGCAAAATCGATTTCCCTATGGTAAAACTTAATATTTTACAACTGTTTTAATGCTAAACTTAAGAATATGGCTGGGAAGAATAGAGTTCATCATATCTGATGAAAAAGCATATATAGTTTCAGCTT